CTGGGGGGGCCGCAGAGCTGGGGGGAGGGCAGCATCCCCAGTGTTGGGGGGGGGGGAAGGAGGAGGGAGCAGTAATTCCACAATGTGTGTGGAGGGGAAAGACCCCAAAAATAAATAAAAATAACTTTTAAAAAAGGACAATCTTCCTAAAAGTGCTCCAAAAGAGTAAAAAAAAAAATAATTTTCAGCTAGCAATTTAAGAGAAAGATTGGATGGCTAACTGTTAGCAACTACCTTGAATCACACTTAGCCATCCAATCTTTCTCCTAAATTGGTAGATGAAAACAAATTATTTACACTCTTTTGGTGCTCTTTTAGAGATATTATCTTTAAAAACGTGTTTTATATATATTTTTTGTTTTCATTTTTTACACAGCAAAAAACTTCTGCTGGAAAGTTGCTGCGGTTCTCTCTTTTTACCACAAGAGCGCAGTAGGGCACTAGAACAAAGCAGCAGCTCCAAGCCAGGGAAAAGAAAGATTGCAGCCTGCCTTTTTCATAGTGCCTGTCAGGCCTGGTCAGGAGACAGGGCATATGGGGAAATGACAGTATGGGGCTGTTGGTGAGTCAAACAGGAGATCATAATGCGGAGGACTGACTGGGACAGGAGCTGAATGGGAATGGAGGTGCAGGGCCATATGCTTGACTGAGGGAGGGTGAAGAGACATGTGGACAGGGGTGCAAGGACACATGGGAAGAAGGGCAGATGTGCCTGACTGATGGGAGAGGCTTCTAGTCAGTCAGGATTTGCATGGGAGAATCTCCCTAAGAGTCCTTCCCCTGAAAAACATCTGTTCCATACTTTTCCTGTCCACATCCCAAACCCCTCAAAGTTCACACCCAGCAATTAGTTCTCCTTCTCTCAGCTCCTCCATTACCTCTAAATCCCCCAAGTCTGCTTCTGTGGGGTGCAGGAAATAGAGTTTTGTATTGTAGTTTAAATAAATTATTACTCGATGTTCTGTATCAATATGCCTAGTAATAAATCTATTTAAAAAAAAATTTCCTGAATCTTTTTTGTTGTCTAGAGTTACAGACCTACTTTCTAATCAGTATTTTGAAATAAGTGACCAAAAATAACTGAAACTGGTGTGATTATATTATGTTATATTAACAAATAAAACATGCGGATTTTGAAAATATTCTGTACAGAATTAATTCTTGGTGCAGAACTCCCCCAGAAGTAGTATATAACAGAAACCATGAAGCCAGTTTTAGCACTTATGAATATAGGGCTTATAAGAAACTCTAACCAGTCTTCACACTGGCATTTGCTATAAAAGATCCAGTGATGCCTCTACCAATGTGCCTTAGTCCAGATAACATTTCTGCCAGTCCAGATATGGGTGTCTCTGGGAGAGAGGCTGGTATTTCTATGTACAATTTTGTAAAGTGGACAAGAAAAAGACCCCTGAGTTTTATTTGGAACCAAATCAGAATTCGAAGCTAGCCCTAGCCTCTTCACAGTTATGTGTTTTGGATTTATTTCTATCGACAGAACGATTATCGATGCCATTTAAGCTTTCATAGCTGCTCTGGTGTTGGGAAATGCTGTGGGAACTAAGAGTTAGGTACCCCTCTTTCACTGAAAGTCAATGAGATCTCAGAGCCCAACTCCCTTAGGGCTATTTGAAAATCTCAACCTTACTATCAGAAAAGATTCTGTGCGGGTAGATTAGTTCTTTATTATTAATTCTTTGGTAGAGCTGGTCAAAAGAATGTAAATGTAAAATGAAAAATATCCACACTGAATTTCAACCACCACTCTGCCTGTAGAACTGACTTCAACAAAAACCTAGAATCAAAGTTAGGTTTCTACCCAGCACCGTGAGAGTAATAGTAGTCTCCGCCAGATGTTGCCCTCGTTCAGTCGGCACACTAACTTCACAACGGTATCTCGCAGAATCTTTTCTGGTAACATTTCTAATTCGTATGCTTGAATCTATCATTTCTGCTCGGCCTTTGAGATCACCTTTAAAAGAGAACATGACAGTTAGAAAGGTATTCTTTGCAGATGAAACCTGTTATAAAAGTATCACTGTGCATGACTGACATCTTGAAACCGAACAATGCTTTTTCTTCTATTCTGATCATCTTTGAGTCTAATTTTCTACTAAAGGACAACAATCATGAGAATTTTTCTCCAAATGCAGTATCACTTCCATTTTACAAAGAAGTTAAAGGGATAATTTAAGCCCAAACCCTACACTGTTTGTTCACAAAACAAAGGCATCATTTATGAAACAGCCAGTTTCCAACAGCCTAGAGAGTTAGAATCCCAAGACCCATTTTGAATTTGGAAGCATATATGTTTCCCCCATATTCTTGAATGCCTTGGTGAAATCAGTATTGTCTAAGAAACTTAAAAGTGAAATTTATTATAGATAGGGAATGTCAGCCAAAAGCTCTATATTTAAGCTTTCAAAAAAAAAACCAGACTTGATTGTAAGTCCCATTATCACATACCTTTCATCTTGTGGGCTGAAAGAGACCAAGCTGCATTTTAGCGGTTTCATTTTAACTCATCAGTCTACAACTTTACAGCTTCTTACCTACTAACTCATCTTTGTAGTACACAAATGAGACAACATTTGTGAGTTTCTTCCATTCTACTCTTGGAACAATATCCTTTCCAGCTGAATATTTACAGCTAAGCATAGCCTCTAGGAGAAACAAAACATATGAAGAGTATTTTAGCTCTGTGCTTGGTATGACTACCAGTATTGATCATAATATTTTTCCTAATAAATGGTTTCAGTCAAATTCCACTCTTAAAATTGAGTTCATTGTATATACTCAATAAATAAACAAGTATAATAGAGAATAAATTCAGAGAGATTTCCATTGATTGCAACGGGCTTTAAATCAGACCGTAAGTCGTCTAAGACAGATCCTCAGCTGGGATAAAATGAAGTAGTTCTACTGACTTTAGAAATTTAAATGGCCAGAGCTCAGTTAAACATTCTGGGTTTTTAATCTAGCTTTGGTATGTAATTAATTTGACATAATTGCTCTGGATCTAAGCTCTGTAGTTTAAAAATTAAATGCTCTTTTTCTATTAAAATATTTGCTAATATTCAAGAAGGTGACTTTTACACTTTCAATTATTTTGGATTTGCTTATTATTTTAAGAAAATACCAACATATTTGAGAACATAGAAAAATAATTCAATTGCTGCCTGAAGAATTAGAGCAGTATGTTATTCTAACTTTATCTCCCAAACCTGCATATCTATTGATTTAAACAGTGTATGTTTCACTCCTTAAAAATCCATCTATTAAAGAAATATTTTAAGATCTACTAGAAAAAAATGGTTGGTTACTTTCATAAATGTTGTTCTTCAAGATGTGTTGCTCATGTCCCTTCCGCTTACGTGCGTGTGCCACGTGCACGGATTGTCAACGTTTTTTCCTTAGCAGTACCCATCGGGCCAGCTGGGGAGGCCTCTGAAGTGATGCCACTATATCGGTGCATATATATCCCCACTGGCCCTCCACCCCTCAGTTCCTTCTTGCCGGAACACTCCAACGCAGGGGAGGCGGGTGGGATGGGGAATGGACATGAGCAACACATCACAAAGTACAACAGTTACGAAAGTAAGTAACTGGTTTTTTTTCCTTCGAGTGCTTGCTCACGTTCATTCCACTTAGGTAACTCCAAAGCTAGCGCCCCAGGAGGTGGGGGTCAAAGTCTACCTAGAGATGGACTGCAACACAGCCCTATCTACTGCAGCGTCCTTCCTGGCATGCTGTGTAATGGCATAATGATCTGCTAATGTTCTGTCCCAGAGCTATGGGGATTAGGGTTGGACCTCAAGGCTCTGGGCCAGTCTCTAGAGGAGCTCTTTATGGTGCTGGGAGAATATGGCTGGCACTGATGAAGAGGCCAATCCTAGGGCCTCATCAGGGGAGAACGATGAATACTCCCGAATGGTCGAGTCCTCCGTCTTGTGCGGCTGTTCCAACACCTGAGAAGGGGCAGACTGCCCATGGTCCCCACCTTCCTCCAACTGGGGAGTTGTACCACCAAAACCTGTGGTGCCAGGGCTCTGGGCAATGGAGTGGCTGAAGGTGGGGCCCACATCCCCAAATGGGAGGATCCCGCCATTGACGGAGCACTCCCTAGGGCCTGGTGGTACACCCATGGGGTCCAAAACGGCCACTGGCCTAGATGCTGACACTGCAGAGGCCAGGTGTGCGAATGTCCCGAGTCACTGTCATGGTGCTTGCGGTGCCGGGAGTGAGAGTAGCTCCGAGATCAGGTTCATCGCCAGGAATTTGAGCAATACCGGGAATGGGAGTGAGAGATTGATGCCCTAAATGGTACTGACTTTCCATCGGAATCTGACGCACAGTTGGACTCTGACCAAGATGGGGCAGAGGCCGGGCCCAGGGAATGGTGCCTCTCCGCGTGCTGAACCAGAGATGCTGGCTTGCTCCAGTGCCACACTGCCAGAGGAGGCATGAAGTGCTCCGTGCCATTGACTGGATTGCCGGGATGAGCATGCTTGACACTGAGCTCTCTCTGGACTCCTGGAGAGTGAAGTCATCGGTCTGAAGGACTCTCGATGTCGGTGTAGATATGCGCACCAGGGAACACAGCACTGCACAGCGCTGGTGCTGAGGATGGTGCGGGCCTACCTGGGTCAGGTGCTGTTGATGAGGCATAGGCCCGAGGCCGATCCCCGGTGCTCCGGAGGAGGTGAGGGCAAATCAGCAGTCAGTTCAATCAGTTCCTGCACCACCTCAAACGTGTCCAGAATGGAAGGCCATTTAACTGGAGCTGGCTCCTCTGCAGCTCTTGGTCAAGCTCAATTGACCACACTCTGGCCCAGGAGCAGAAGACCTCACGGCCAGTGCAGGTGCAATAAGGTGCCCTGACTGGGGGTGAACCACAGGTGCATGCCAGGGTGGAGACCTTCCCCTCTCCATTCTCCTCTTCTTGCACCTGACAGGTGATTGCCTGACAGGTGATTGCGAATGGTGCCGCGCAACAGGGGCCTCGACACCGATGAGGCCCCCGAGAACCCAGGAGTCTCCCGCACTGAAGACAGTGTGCTGCGTGATTCCAGCGCCGAGTCCGATGACAGTGCCGGGTGATGTGCCGACTCCATTAGGAGTATCTTCAGCGGCAAATTTCAGTTGTGCTGAGTCCGGGGCTTGAAACTGCGGCAGATTCTGCAGTTAGCTGGGACGTTGGCCTCACCCAAGCACTTCAAGCACGAATCATGTAGGTGCCCACAGGGCATAGGCTTGGAACAGGGCTTGAAGCTGTGAGGCCCCGGCATGCCCCATAGGCCGGGAGGGAAGGGGACTCAACAGGCAAGCCCCAACCCAAACAACTTATCTAACTCTATCTAACAGGTACGTAATAGGGAAAGCAACTTGTAAAGAACAAAGGGATTAACTCAGTGCTAACTACTCTAAAGGCTTTTGAATACCGCTGAGAACACGCTTGTAGGCAAGCAAGAAGGGAGCTCCAATGACCATCACGGCAGTAAAAAGGAACTGAGGGGGTGGAGGACCAGCGGGGGGTATATATGCACCGATATAACGGTGCCACTCCAGGTTACCGCCTGACAGGTACCGCTAAGGAAAAACTCTCCAACAATCTATGCACGCGGCGTGCACTCACCTAAGTGGAATGCACATGGGCAAGCACTCGAAGGAGAACTATTGTATCCAGATTATTTATCTACTGAAGGGATTCTGTGCACTTGTCACTATCACTTCCTTGTTAGTTCATTTAGTTTCCAGAGCTAGTATCAGTCTTTCAGTCATATCTTTCTAAACTCTCTGCTCATTGTAATTGTATTAATATGGAAAAATCTTGACTACCTTCAATCTCTCTGTAGTGTATAACCTCCAGTAAATTGCCTCTATCTTTTTTTTTTTTTCAGTGAGGGTGGAACAGATGGCTTAGAAGGTTAATAACGCAAGATAGTCTTTCACCTTTAGGCTGAGCCCTTCATATACAGATCACATTAATAGGGATCAAAGACTGTTATACTTTTGATTGGGTGTATGCAGTTGCCAGTGGACATGTCCACATTTCAAAAGCAAACACAATAGCCTGCTATAGTTTGCACTCTTATTCCCAATCTTAGCCAGGATAGTTGAGGACTGAATAAATTATGGAGACAGAGTTACTTATTCACCCCTACATTTTGTCTTTCCAGACCAGAATTGAAGGCTTCAGAGTTCCAAAGCTATCAGTCTGGCATTTTTCATGAGCAATAAGATCATACACAAAATAAAAGAAGACATTAAAATAAAAACACAATGACAGGAGGACATCCTGTTCCAAAGACAAATACACGCTTTACAAATGTGTGTGCGTGCTCTGAACTAAGTGGAGGAAGTCTAACGTTCCTGACTGCAGGTGGGGAATGGGATAGGCGGTGGCCTTCCTCTACTTAAGATTTATTGAAGTTTCCCTTCCCTTTTATTTTGTTGCCTTACAATGAAAAAACATTAGTCAATTCCAGTCTATGGTCTGGGACTTTCACTCCTGGCCCTTGCAATTGCTGGTTGAGCCTACTTTTATTTGGGTCTATCTAAAGTGAAGAGAGCTTAGTTTCAGTGTTCCATGCTCATAATTAAACTAAAGTTTGGGGGTGAGACTTGCCCTCTCTCTCTTTCATTTTGGAGCCCAGAGAGTTAAGGAGAAGATGAAGAGGCCAATGTTGAAGTCATTCTCTCATGAGGAAGAAAACAGAGGAAGCCCAGTGCTTCACTCACATGATACAAGCACTTCCTCCTCCTCTCCTGCTAGGTTGGGTTATATGGAGAGGAGAAAGTATGGTGTAGGCCTCTTCAACCTTAGTTCCCCATTTGCAATGCATTCATCAATGGGATAGAGAGACACCATAACATGGGGAGATGGCAGTAGAAGAGGGGAGACTAAGGACTAGAGAGAGGGAGTGAAAAGGGATAGACAGAACTGAAGAGACAATCAGAAGTGGAGAAGCAGGAGAATTCTATTTACGGTATCTTGAGGGAGAGGCTGAACTAAGAACATAGAATTTTAGGCTGTGTCTAGACTACGCCTCTGTCAACAGAGAGATGTAGATTAGGCACATCGAAATTGCTAACGAGGCAGGGATTTAAATATCTCACGCTTCATTAGCATAAACATGGCTACCACTATTTTTCGAAATGGAGCTTTTTCGAAAAACGGCAGTCTAGATGCGGATCTTTTGAAAAATAAAGCCTTTTTGAGGAATACGAGGTTTACAGGATCTTTCGAAAAAGGGTTTATTTTTTGAAAGATCCATATCTAGACTGCCTTTATTCACTTAAAATTAGTGGATACTTTTGACCTGACTCACTCTGCCTCAGTTCCCAATCTGTAAATTGTGGATAATCACAACCCTTCATTTCACCAAGGTGTTGAGAGAATAAAATAGCGAGTGTCTGCAGCACTCAGATACTATAGCTTTAAGTGCCCTTGAAGAGACCACAAAGAAATTAATTATTGTGTCTTCAGAGCAAGGGTTGAACAATGAATAGTCAATAAGGCCTACAGGCACATATTCAACAAGGAGCAAGCTGCTCATTAATTGAGCACTCTTCAACCCATGCATAAAAGCTGGCAGGCATTCTAGGAAAAATAGTATGAAACCATATAATTAACAATTATATCATAATACATACACACAATGGGTCTGAATTAAGATAGCACACAACCTAAATTCTGGCATTTCCTAAATTTTAAGTGCGTGACTTTGGAACCGTAATTATGTCCTTTAAACAGTTTCTCATTATTTTTATATATTTTATAAATATCTATCTGTATAAATGCAGTGATGCCCATGCACATACTGTACCCTGAAACTCCTTTGCTGTGACATGCTGATTGTCTGTTTTGATAGAGATGCCATATGCTTTATGATCTGCGAGAGAAAAAACAAAAGTGAAGTGATTATTCCCCTTTATTCGGCACTGGTGAGGTCACATCTGGAGTATTATGTCCAATTCTGGGCCCCCCATTACAGAAAGGATGTGGACGCATTGGAAAAAGTCCAGTGTAGGTAATCAAAACGATTAGGGGGCTGGAGCACATGACTTACAAGGAGAAGTTGAGGGATTTGGGCTTATTTAGTCTACAGAAGAGAAGAGTGAGAGGGGATTTGACGTCAACTATCTGAAGGAAGGTTCCAAAGAGGACGGAGAGAGGCTGTTCTCAGTAGTGACATATGACAGAACAAGGAGCAATGGTCTCAAGTTGCAGTGGGGGAAGCCGTTGGTTGGATATTAGGAAAAACTATTTCACTAACAGGGTGGTGAAGCACTGGAATGGGTCATCTAGGGAGGTGATGGATCCCTAGAGGTCCTTAACTACTGGTTTGACAAAGCCCTGGCTGCGATGATTTAGTTAGGGTTGGTCCTGCTTTGAGAAGGGGGTTGGACTCAATGACGTCTTGAGGTGTCTTCTGACCTTATGAGTCTATGAAAAAAATTAAGTCAGATAACAGACGTTTGCACTGCACACTTGCTTGAGCCAATTTTAGAGGACAACAATCCTAGGCTTAGTTATAAAACTCCAAATGCTATAGGGGGCTTCTTGGTGAGTGGACATGACTGAAGCTTGGGAGACCTGGGCTGTATTCTTGGCTTAGCCACCAACCAGCTGGGTGACCTTGTGTAAATCTCTTAACTCTCTATGCTGTAGTTTCTCCATCTGTAAAATGGGATAATGATATTGCATCTGAACAGTTTGGAGAGCTACTGATCGGAAGTGTGACAGATAAACTGGGTATTATTACATAACTAGAGAAGGAATAAGCTTTTAAACATGTATGTGCACATTTCTATCTTCCCCCTCCCCCGCCACAATCTGCTATTTTCAATAAGGCATAATTAGAGAACTTGCATTAATCTTCAATCCCCTGCTGTAATCACAGCTGCCCCGTACCACACATACTTCTACTGTTGAATTATACCATTTAGTACATGGGTGTTAAAAGTTATCTGAATAAAGGACTCTCAGCTCCCCCCACCTCCCATCTCAACAGCGGGCATCTACATTCTCTCTGCACTCCCCCTACTATTCTCTCTGCAATTTCAGGCCTGGTCTATACTTGAAAATTGGATCAATCTAGTTGTGTTGCTTAGGGCTTGATGATAGTTAGGTTGACCCAATTGCTAGTGTAGACACAGATAGGTCAAGGGTAGGATTCTTCTGTCAATCTACCTAACTCCTCGCAGAGAGACAGATTGACTACATTGATGGAGAAAACCCTTTTGTCCATATAAGAAGTGTTTATACTACAGCACTGTCGCATCGAAGCTGTGCCACCACCATGGCTATGATATAGACGAGAGATGTAAGCGAGTAGTTGAGTACTTGAGTACCTGATGAGCCTAAGGGTGTGTCTAGACTACTGAGTTTTGTCGACAAAAGTGGACTTTTGTCGACAAAACTATACCAGCGTCTACACTACCGCTGAGTTCTGTCGACATAACTTCGACAGAACTCAGCAGTTTTGTCGACGCTGGTATACCTCATTTTACGAGGCATAACGCCTTCTGTCGACAGAGTTCTGTCAACAGAAGGTGTTATTGCCTGTAGGGTTGCGTCTAGACTACAGGGTTCTGTCGACAAAGCAGCTTGCTTTGTCGACAGAACTCAATGTGTCTGGACGCTCTTTGTTGACAGATGCTGTCGACAAAACTTCTGTCGACAAAACCTGGTAGTCTAGACGTACCCTTAGTTGTCATTTTTATAGATTTATTTCTATTACTCCATAATATTGCTATGGTCTCATCATCTGTGGTGCAATTATTCATTGACTTATGCCAAGGGCCCTACCAAATTTGAAATGGTAACACACAGAAACCTGTTGGAGAACATTTTAAGTAGCCCGGGCGCTCATTAATGGATTTAAAGGTGGCTATTCTCTTACAAAATAATTTCAGGAATCACCTCGAGAGAGAATCTGCAGAACTGGCCTTCTTATACAAATTTGATGCTCTCTTGCACGGCCTGAACACAGACATGAACTGGATGGGAGACTTTATATTCAACACCCAAATGACATCAAAAGCTAAGTATCAGGCACTAACAGCCCACTCAATTTGCCTCATTTAATAAGGACCCTTTATTGAAAGGGTTTTCCCCCCTACCTATTTCCTTCCCATCTTCCCTCTTTTCCTGCTTTATATTTCAAACTCTGTGCCCCTTGCTCCATATTTGTCATCTGAAAAAGTGGGTAGTGCCCACAAAGCTCATGATACTATTTATATATTTTTGTTAGTCTTTAAGGTGCTACAGGACAATTGTTTTTAAACCTATACAGCAACCTTCTTGGTTGAGGCTGGAGTGGCCACCAGGGGACCCTGGGAAGGCTGGAGTGTCTACTCATCACTTATTTTGAAATAGCTATTTCGAATTTGGGGTTATTCCTTGTAGAATGAGGTTTACCAAATTCAAAATAAGCGCTCCACTATTTCAAATTAATTTTGAAATAGCAGTTTGGCTGTGTAGACGCTAGTAAAGTTATTTCAAAATAAGGGCTGTTATTAATAACTTTGAAATAACTTTGCTGTACAGACATACCCTTTCACGTCAACTACCACCATCTTAACACATTATTTCATTTCTCAAAAGTACATTTCTTTTTTCTGGGTAACTGATACTCTAGCTAGAGATACCAAGCCTGTTTTCTCCCTTAAACCTTTAAATGCTTTCTTTCAAGCTTTTTTCATTTTTTCTTATGTGTTGATCCCCGATTCCCATTTAGATTTTTAATATAATTTGTAGTTTTACTTTCACCTGAAACATCTCTCTTTTCCTTGTTCAATTAATGTCAATATTTTGGGATGGGGGAAAAAACAAAGGGGAAATTGCTCCAAATATACCTGGGTATTTCCCAGTCTTGGCTGTTTTTCCGTTACTGTTGTTATAATTTCTGTTCCCAAACATTACATGTTTTCCCTTGTAAGGGTCTGTAGTTTCACATGTCCAGAGAGGGAAGAACAACAGTGTTTTATTCAAACTTTTTGGCTCTGGTTAATGCTTGTTTTTTAGTTGGTTAGGAAACATCTTCAGGAGCCATGGATGTGTTCCAAATTGTTGGACAGAGTGTTTATAAAATGTAACTAGAAATAGGATTATTTCCAATACAGTCATCTATTCAAATGCATGTGATTCACAGCCATATTAAATGCATTTACAGACTTAAAAATCAGGAAATTTTTCAAAGGGGAAAAAATACGTATTTCTTCTCCCATCTCAGTTCATATAAATTATATAATTCTAAAAATGTAACCAGAACCACAATAAGACTATATATTATGTCTTCAGCTGTTACCTTCCTTGATTTACACTATAGACAATGTTGTGGTATCAATTACTTTTTGCAGAGTGAACTCTTAACAAGGAAACTGCTTTTTGTGGGAGAACTGTATATGCTCCCTAAACTGCTGAGAGAGTTAGACAATTTAAAAGTGCATAAAGATCTGAGTGAGCAATACAATACATTATGATCAGCATATATAGCACCATCTGTAACAACACAACAGGAATATAAGTAGAAGTACAATGACACAGAGATATGGCTGGTTAGGAGCAAGAAGCTACTTAAGGATTTTGATCAGCCAAACAAAAGACATCTCTAAAGCTATGACAACAATTCCCTAAATAATCACTTGAGGAACAAGACGTTGTTGGCAGCTTCTCAAAACATTGATAATTTTGGACCCTTTAGCCTAACCTAAAGAAGAAGAATGGAAAGATAACTATATTTGGAAAAGAGTTTTCACATTGAAGCAACCTGATCATTTGTTTACAACCTAGTCTACAAAGGGCACACATTTACCATTAGAAAAAACTCTACTGCAACAGAAAATTTCATTTGGCAATTTGAATGCTAAAGAAAAACACATTAGATACTATCATACCACATTTCCTTTGATTTGATTGCAGGAAACTAGATAGAATAGAATCAAAACGTTGTGGATACAAAAGAAAACAGTCATAATGGCATTTGTTTTGCTAAATTCCAGATCACGTGTTGCTTATAACAAAGCTTAAGTATTTAAGTATATTGTAGGTTTCGGAATTAAGTTGTGCTAAGAATAAAATTATGGGAATAAGAGTTGCTTGCAATAAACTCCCAAATGTGGGTAGGAAAATAGTATCCCATGTATGAACTGTGTTAAAACTACATGTGCCCTGGGTTAAATTGTCATGGACAGTCTTATATCCCACCACACACTGCTGAAACAGTATAACTGCTTGCTTCCACAAATCAGGATAAGCCCAACCACTGCCATATTAAAGGTGTACAGAAGACAGTTCTATACTCATACTTTCCCAAGAACAGTTTTAATAGGAGAGCCACTACATTCTACTGGAACTGTTCTGTAGACAATATTGTGATGAGTATATTGCAAATTGTCTGAAGTAACTGTAGTTTAGTAATCATAACTTAACTAAGTTCAATATCCTAACAGGATGGATCATATA